GGGATGCTGGGGGGACACTGGGGGGACGCTGCGGTCGCTTGCTCCGGTTCCAAGCACTAACGGGGAGGCTATGTGAGAGCTGTGCAGGCTGCAGCCACCCCTCATTCAGTGGGAATTAGCCAACTAATAAAAAAAGGAGGATGCTCAGGGCTAAGCCCAAAGTGGGGACTTGGTGGTAGTTTTAAGACCTGTTTTCCTGCCATAGCCGGTCTGTGCAGTGAGGGACAGAAAGCCTTCGCAAGCCGCTTGCTTCTTGACTTGGCCAGAAATAGGAAGGTCAGGCAAAGATTAAAAAACCCCAACCTATTCTTTTTAACCTTAGAGCTTTGTGTGAAAGAGAGATCTATATAAAAGGTCTGAATTCTCTGCTGTCTTCCTGCCCTGGGACTGATTTCGGCAGAAAAGGGGCGGACGAGAGCCCTGCACGCGCAATTGTGAAAGTTTAATGGGGGCAACCTCTTTCATTGCTGAATATCGACTTAAAATAGGGCGAGAAGCACAGGCTCTTCAGGGCTCCCCCTGGTTTTGTCCCCCCCCCCAAGAACTAGATTCTTCTCTAAAATACTCCCAGAAAAATAAACCCTGTATTTAGGGAGCTGCTGGAAGCACGGTGGCTGGCACGAGCAGCACCCATGGGTGCTCAGGCCATTGGCTACGTCGTCCAGGGGCAAAGGAAATCAAATACAAACGGCTGAGCTGGGCGACAGGCCGAGCAGATATCAAAAGCATCTTGGTCTCAGGAGCTGTTTGATACGTGGGTTTGGAGGAAACCCTGAGGAGCTGAGGTGCTGGGACAGGATGGGTGCTGGGAGGGGTGCTGGGACAGGATGGGTGCTGGGACGGGATGGGTGCTGGGACGGGATGGGTGCTGTAGCCTGCAGGTGTCAGCAATGCTCAGCCCACTGCCCCGCTCAGACCTGTGATAATAATAGCCCTAATAAAAAGCTGTCGTAGTGATGCACTGAGTCCTGCAGGAAAATAACCGCTAAAGCGAAACAAATCGCGGCTTCTCCCTGCTGTAGCACTCTCCCCGCTGCCCAGCTCTCGGTTTTCCAGAGGTCATGGTGTGTGATGGTAGTTTTGTGGCTGCATCTGTCTTGGTAGATCCAAAGGGGTTTTGGGGCACAGACCACAATGGCTCCGTGTCTCCCACGGGTACCGCTCTCACCGAAAAGGATGCTGGTGTGCAGAGGAGGGGGCAGGAGAAGGGTGGGTGGTTTGTGCTCTCCTCCCTCCGTGCAGCGCTTTGCCGGGTCTGGGAGAGGATGAGGCTTACCTCCCAAAAA